GGGGGGAAAAGACTTTTTTTCCTTTTGTTTTTTTCAAATAAATCTGATTTATGGTAAATATTTCATGCTCACTTCCCTTCAATATGTAGACGTATCTACGCCTGTCAAAAGAATGCTTTAGATCTAATAATACGAGCATAATATTAAATCTCCTTTCACATTTCCATCTACGGTTTGTTTGTCTTGTGCGTAGACCGTTGGGCCGCCGCGTAGCTTTCACAGAAATTGCCTCAGATTTAGTAGCAAGTGGGGCTGACAATACGTTCGATCAAATTTTGCATTAAACACATAAATTTCACAGTAAAGACGCAGCAGCGGTAATTAAAATGTCTCCCTTCCCGCCAGCAGCAGCTGCGGCTGGAAGCGAAATGTTTTCAGGGCTTTTACTGTGCTCGTATTTCTCCGCCTGTGTCACTGACGGTCTCTCTCACATCCACGTCTGCCTGCTCTGTCTACCTCCAGGGTTTTTTCCGTAGGACCATTCAGAAGAACCTCCACCCGGCCTACTCCTGTAAGTACGATGGTTGCTGCATCATTGACAAGATCACCCGCAACCAGTGCCAGCTGTGCCGCTTCAAGAAGTGCATTGCTGTGGGCATGGCCATGGACTGTGAGTGCACGCACAAAAATACAAGACAAAAATGAATTAATGTCACTTGTTTAATTTTTTTAATAAAGATTCAAGAGGTAGTAAGAATAAACAGCACGGGGACCTAATATTTCACAGCTGGAGCTGCAACTTTATATATATGCAAACAAATTTCAGGCGATATACAAACAGTGTGCCTGTCCTCCTCTTCCCACCTCCTTTTCCCTCCAGTGGTACTGGATGACTCAAAGCGGGTGGCTAAACGGCGCCTGATTGAGGAGAACAGGGAGCGGCGTAAGAAGGAGGAGATGGTAAAATCCCTCCAGACCCGTCCGGAGCCCACGGGGGCCGAGTGGGAGCTGATCCGCTTGGTGACGGAAGCCCATCGTCACACCAATGCTCAGGGCGCACAGTGGAAGCAGAAGCGCAAATTCCTGGTGAGAAGCTACGGCACAGTGATACACAGCCAATTGTGATTGTGTTCACTTTCTATAGTTCCCATTATTCTTCAGTAGAGAAAACATATAGAGGAGATAACCAAAGTATTTGAATATGAATATAATATTAAAGCATTTTCTTTTCTACATTGTTGCCGCACTGTTTTTCCAGCATATTTAAGTGATAGCTTAGGGTTACCTCAGCTGGGATTTTTCATTGCTGTCATTTCTTTAGAGCAATTTAAGGCGACTTCTTACATTACAAGATTATCTACTGAAAAAAGTAGCTTGTTAGGTTTCACCATTACCTTAGAAAACAGCTTCTTCTTCGACAACATAAACAGCAACAAGCTCATTAATTTTACTCAAAGTGACAGCCTTAGCCGAACTAAAACCTAGCCATTGCTGTTTTGAAGCTGGCTTAATTGCCTTCCTCAGCGGCCTTTAAAAACAGTGTTGGGGGACTGTGATTAGCTTGCAGTGACTGAGGTGGAGCTCCGTGTAGATCACAGACACTTATTGATGTTGTTTGTGTCAGTTTCACTTGTAAGTTCAAGGTGATTACGGCATGATGTAAAGGTTGTCCTCTCTGAAATCCACCAAGCTGAGCTACAGATATACGCTGTGGCAAAAGTACAATTCATTGTCTTTCACTATAAAGGAGCCATAGTAGCTGCCCACATACAGAAACTGTAGGGCGAGGAACAAAGGAGTACAGCAGCCTTTTAACAGCATAAAATTGCTCCTTTAAAAAGTTTTTTTGTGTTGTTTTTTGTTTTGTTTTGTTTTGTTTTTAGCATTACTTGATTTGCAAAACTTATCTGAGAACTCTTAACATCAGGAATACCGGTGAGAGACATCAGAAGCAGATTATCAGTGTGTCTTTTATTTTGAAAATTCTTTCTTTTGAAGGCAAACAATCTGCACTTCTGATTTGTGTCAAATTTTTGCACTTTCATAACCACTTAGCGAGTAGTTGGCGAGTTCTTATAGACAAGGCATTGTCTTTCATGTAAACTATGAGTGACTGTGGCAATCTGCTAGCAACCAGAGCAGTCACAAGGAGGCTCAAAGTGCAGCACTGTACACAGCGTTGCAACAAATTTCACCTAGCAGCGGCAAACAATACTCATCAGTGTTCCATTTATGGAATACTCGGAGGTTGCCGGGGTCTCGCCAACCAGTCTCTAGACCTGTTCACTGGGGTTTTAGCTGGCAGTTTCACAGCAACTGCCAGCAACGTCCAGCAACCGCTTACACTCATGGTTACTGGACGTTACTAGTCGTC